CCCCAAAACCCCAAAACCCCAAAACCCCAAAACCCCAAAACCCCAAAACCCCAAAACCCCTAAATTTAGACATGGAGTTGAACAATCCTGGTGAATTTTAAGGATTAACGGTGGCCTGAATGGGTCGTGAACCCTCTACGTGGCCTGTATCTTGACATTCCTCTGAGGATCATGTGTAGAGATGCTATGTGAAGGATCAGATTAGAGCCTATGGGAATCTCCCTGAGGGATATTAGCATGAAGTCAAGAAATTTGCGTTTAGCGGTTCCAGTTTATTGTAGAAGGATCAAGTAGGTTGTCACCAAAGGTAGGTTAAAATTAAATTTTTTGGCATGAAATTAAGCAATATGATCTGTTTTTCTGAAAAACCAATAGTGACCTTTTAAAAGAGAATTCTTGACATTTTTCAAAATTTAACAGCTAGAACACCAAGAGAGTCATAGATCTACAGATTTACATTTTTGCTTTCTTGCAGCTTCCATTTCTGAATGACCATAAGTTGTTTCACTCCTTGGAACTATAAATCCTTTGTTCTTACCTTGACTCTCTCTCAAGCATTCTATAAGTAGCAGATTTATGAAAAATCGGAGAATAGAGATCTTTTCTCATCTGCACTTTCTCTTTTTCAGTCATAGTAAAGAGCGAGAACTTTTCTCTGTCTATAATGGATTGTTCACAACTATCAGCCGAATGGCTTGAATGATTTAAAGCAGTCCAATGAAGGCTAGAGATACCAACTTAAAGAACATCTTAACCACTATCAACATTAGTGAGAAGAACCCCGAAGGAGGTTCTACAAGGTTAGGCTTGCTTACCAATGCATCATTCTGACTGTTTTTCTAGAACACTACAACAAAGAAGCTTACTTTTCTGACTCCGGATTGGACTCTTCTTAGGCACAGATTTTCTCCTGTTATTCCTTCTGAGCTTCTGCATTTCTGAGGAAAAGCAATCTAGAAGTAAGCAGCAGGCTTACTTTTCAAAGGATCTGAAGACTTTCTTGGGCTTAAAGGATGAGGGTTTTGAGAACTTCTACGCCCAGCTTTAGTAGAGGGATGACGAGAAGACACTGGGCTAGCCTTGCGCAGATTTGAGCCAGAGTTTTGGAGCTTTTTAGCTCCGATTTGGATTTTAAGATCATAGTCCTGTGGGTTAGAAAAGAGACACAAAATACCATAGCTTTGTAGTAATTTTCAGCTCTATTTAATTTCTTTTAAGATATCATCTGTAGTTTCCTTATTCCCTGTTTTAATCAATGGTTTGAAGTTAGGGAACATTTTGATCATAGTTTTCTTTATAATTGGCTTCTAAAAAATCAAAATGAGTTGCAAAAACTTTCTTTAACCTATTTCTCTTACTCTAGACTCAGCTCTAGTCTTGCTTCTTCCTTCTATACCTCAATATTTCTATTAAGTACATACCTTTGACCAAATTTCTGAGTTGTTGGCACCTAGAAAACATCAATCACTCTCTACCCAGCTAGCTAGGTAAAAGTTTCATTCAAAAATAGGGCAAAAAATTACGAGTTAAGGTCGAATTCCTCCACCGAGCTATCAATGAACTTACTTATCCACAAATTTGATATGACTGGGAGCCTGGCTCACTCTGTGTAGAAATTCAGTGCTTCAAGCTGCATTTTTACCTAAAATGATATCTCTGAGGTACCTTGAACTGTACTGCTGGCGCCCAGTGATTTCTTTGTGAGCTACAATGTTCAGCTTGAAAATATCAAAAATTACCTGTTTTCCAGATCTAAAATATTATAAGGAGCTTACCTTGTAATGTTCTCAGACGTAGTAGTGAGAAGTGAGAGTAGATCATTCATGTTTTGAGATTCTTTTATAGCCATGTCCTCCTTTGACTTTATTGGCAAGGCTTGTTGTTTAAGCCTTCTGGATGGCCTCCTCCCCCCTAATAATTCAGGTAGTATTCATTTTTATGGAATTAGGGTTAGATTAAAGCTACTTATAATGTACGAAAATAAGATACATAAACAATACAGGCTGAATTCAAGATTTGGTAAGGATTATTCAACTTAAATTAAGTCTTGTTTGTTTACCCCAAGAATGACTTATGCTACTTACTGTTTACTTTCTCTTTTTGTACAAAAGTGATTTCCTTCTTCGGTTCCATTTTAGAAATTTTCAAATAAAAATTTCACTATTGGGGTTTTGGGGTTTTGGGGTTTTGGGGTTTTGGGG